TGATTTCATTTCATAAATAAGTTGAAGAATAATAGCATTGGTCCGGAAATATTTTCTATGAATGAATGATACTTGAGAGTCCTATATAATTATTTTAATAGTCCAACAGAATTATTTTCGGATCAGTATTCAGTTAAATTTTTCGATACTTCAACAAAATCATTCGTGTATAATTCAAAATAAGAACAGCGGAACAAAAAAGAGAGAAAGAGAGGGGGATTTAATAGAAGTTTTGTCAAAGAAAATAGATTTGAAAAAGTTCGAGGAACGAAAGGAAAAAGTACAGTTACACGATAGTCGGTATATTGAATATACGATCCATAAACGTCCATACTGATTTTATAAAATTCACCGCGATATCGTGTTCATGCAGCGTTACGTATGTGTGCATGGAGTCTAAAAATAAGGGATACCACGCTCAGTCACGAAGTAGCGGTCATAGAGAGAACAGGACACCGAGCAAGACGATAAGGAGGCAAAGGAAGACGAAACTTGTACTCGTGGGAATCTGAAATCACGTCCTTAATTTCCATAAAAGAGTGCAAGGATTACGCGCTCGTCCCAAGCTCCTCATCCCGCCTACTCTTCAATCGAGAATGTCACGTGGCTGCCATCCCCTTGGCCTCCCTCGCCATCCCTATTCATCCTTCTTTCTTTTCCTCAAAGGAGCTTTAAGCTCGGTATGCATATCTTTTGGCATCCTCTTACCTCCTGCTGCACGCGACGAGCCAGCTACTCAGCACATTCTCGGCAAATCCGCCGTCCCTTAAATTCGTTGCATTACGTTTAGACTGACACACGAGAGTACGCTTGACGCTGCAAAAATGTTTGACCGAAAAATTGTTCGCGCAGCTGAAGCGAATTGATGCCTCACGAATGAGACAGCGACCGTACGGTAATTCAAGCGCGGAAATTCTCGAAGTATACGCTAATTCGAATGTAAATCAAGAAACTTTGCATAGCGCTTCGCCACATACTTATTATTCGGTGTGCACCATTTTCCATAATTTCATTTCAAAGGACTCCGCACTAATTATAGAGAAAATTTGGTGAAATGAGATTGTCTTTACATAATTTAATTGTAATTTATAATGTGGTGAATAAAATGTTATACACATAGCTTAAATAATGGATAATTCTTGAGCTATATCAAAGGGTACTCTTGTGAATACAAGTTTTATACCTTTGATATACCATAGCTCAAGAATTATCCATTATTTGAGCTATTATTTGACCTAATTTCCCTAATAATTAGTAGATCTCGCACTAATTATGTAGAAATTGGGTTCCAGTGAAATGGGTTTTGGGTTTCACATATATGATGTAATTAAGATGTCATAGATACAACGCTTAATAATTATATTGTGTATATATAGGGTGACCCATTTTAATCTATCACCCCAAATATTTCCGTTCCCTTACATTTTTCAAGAAAATGTTTTACAAGACAAAAGTTGTATGGTTTCAAGGGGGCCATAAAATGGTACGAGTACCATTGGTTTGACCTTGGATAGTCGCTCAAAGTTCACATGAAGGTCACCTTCAATTTCTTAAATTAAACCCACTATTTTTCATTACATATTCTTGTAGCTTACCTCGAGAGCTTTCTAAAACACTATAATAAAATATTTTTTCATTAAGTATTTTTCAAGTTACAAGGCTCAAAGGTTACAGCCGGCATTAGCATTACGCAAGTTGTCCGACCGACGGCTAAAACCTCTTAAATGTTGTTCAGGATCATGCTCTGGATAATATTTGTCAAGATCAAAGCCATTTGCGTAATGCTAATGCTGACTATACTGTAACCTTCGAGCCTTGTAACTTGAAAAATACTTAATGTTATCCAAGATCAAACCAATGGTACCATTTTATGGCCCTCTTGAAACCATACAACTTTTGTTTGAAATATTTTCTCGTAAAATACAAGGGAACGGAAATATTTGGGGTGATAGATTAAAATAGGTCACGCTCTGTGTGTGTATATACATATATATATATATAGATAGAGAGAGAGAGAGAGAGTTTTTTAATAGAATGTGTTACGGAAGTTAAGTTATTCATAACGAATTACGGAGAAAATGAACTTCCGAATATATAGACAATAATTTAACGTAATTATTTATATCCACTTTCAAAGATCACGTAGTGAATTATTGGCCGCACAGTGAGTCAAATTACATGCTAAGTGACCTCATTAAGTCGTTGCACTGCATGCGGCCGCGTGCACCAAGTCCTTCTCGCCTACGATCGTAATTAAATTGCGATAACGCTACGGTGTACGGATGCGAAGCGTTACGTTAACGGTGAAGAATATTGCGCCTTGACGGGCAATCAGTTTCTCTCGGCATATAAATTATTCCGCAAATTGATAAAATAGGATCCACTTACCTTCATCTCAAGAGGGTGAGAGAAGCGTCCCGCGCAAAAGTTGCTCGCCGTTACTGCCGTAGATAATTAATTAAGGATGAAACGTGGTCTCACAGGCCGAAGCATGAACTTTAGGCCAGTGTTCAACCTAGTTTTGTCCTGGATAATTTGTCAGCATGTTCGAATTTTTGGATCGAGCGTGTCCCGATGCTCGAGAGCGCCGAAACTTTCTCAAGCATCGTTGGAACTTTACCTTACCCTTGATACACGTCAACGAAGAAATTTGTAATGCCTAACTTTGAGGAGCGTGCCAAATCGAACTTTCTCCTAAGCGACTCTAGTTCGGAGATTAGCGGGTTATTGGAATTTATTAATTTACGCTTCCGATCCTTCTCTGCGTTAACGTCGTAACATTGATATACGATACCATAAATTATTCAATGAGATTATCACAGAAATATCCAATCAAACTTAGAATGGCACATTCACAATTCGACTCCTAACTGAAAGTAATGTAACATTAATTGAAACATGAAACGTCTAAACCATTTAATTATATTTCGTTAAAATTATATTTGTGAAATATTATTTTTTAACTGTGTAAGTAAATTCGTCGTGAAAATTCTATCAGATATGATATCACGAGTTGGAATTGAGTAGAAGAAAATGCACACTTTCAAATATCGAAGAAGCAATGGTAACCCTATGCCTCGAGTTAAATAACATTTTGTTATTTTTTTATTTTCACGTATGTCAATCCATTTCTGTAGTTAGTTCCAAAGTAAACAACGTCCACATTTAACGTATACACTTAATAACGTATACACTTAATAAATAATAAACTAAATTGAATCTTTATTTTCTTGAATCAAATTGTTTAACTCCATTGTTTTAGTTAAATTAACGATATATTGAATACAAGCAGTGACGGCTTATAGAAATAATTAAGAATAACTCGAATTGGATATAATTTGACATTATAAATTTAACAGTACACACAGTTTGTGAAATGGCGGATAACGGACGGTTAACTTCAAATGTTGATTATAAAGTAAAGGTGTGTTGTTTTTCGGAAACAAAGAGCGTGACACAAACTTGGAGACATTTCCGTTCACATAGTGCAATTATACCATACGTGCGATATCTGACGATTTGTATCGAAAAGAAGTTTAAGTCTTAAGGATGTATCTCCAAAAGAGGTTGTAAATCAAATGGCATGTTAAACGATGTGTTGAATGGATGTGAAACATCCATTAGAGACAATCTTCAGAATTTGATAATTAATTTTGTACTAGTTTTGTATTAATTTTGTTAAAGATAAGTGTATTATGTGTAAAGCAAATAGTATGACATGTGCTCTGCATTTCACAAATTGATGTGTGCTTTCGCCTCCGCTCAACTTGTGATGCTGTACCTCACAGAATTCCGAAGTACAGAATTTGCTCCTTCAGTCAAAAAATACTGATATTCCACAAGCATGATTTTAATGAGATAATTAAACGTACGACATGCCATCCTGTATCCTGTTGAATGCAAAATTATACCATTGATGTTATGCTACATTTAGTTTGTATTGACTGGGAGGAGAGAATGTATGCAGGAACCTACATAAAAAAATTAAAGAAATAATTAAAATTGATGTAAAAATTTGAGAGAAAAAAGGAGAAGAGAAAGAGAAAGGAGAGAGAGAGACACAGCGATCGCTGTTGCTGTACAATATAACGTCGCCTTTATTATTACCGTTTTGCTTATTAACCACAATTGTTAAACGTTCACTTTTTCATATGATACAACTTTATTCTCTATACACACGCTTTTTTTTCTTCCCTAAGAGTTTTTCGCCTTCCGCTGCTTAACGTCTATTTTAGGTAATGTTTGTTCGTGTACATTTTCTGTGTTTTTTTTATATACAAAAGCGCCGGATTATTCGTCCATCGGCTAAGCTAACGGAGAGCCAGCGTTCTCTTCCGCGCGATTGATCTACCACATGACTTCATCCTAATCTCTTCCTCTTCTGAACCATTCCTTCTTTATTATCCTACTCCTCTCTATCCCGGAGCTATTACGAAATTGCTCTCCGCCTCTTCTCCTCCTCCTCTTCCTCCAACGAGATACCGACTATTTCTTCTTCTGTATCTTCCACCGAGATCCATCACGATCGTCCCGCTTCTTCCCGCGCTTCCGCTTCATTTCCCCCATCCCATTTTCCCACCGTTCCCCTCCCCCCCATTTCGTATAATGATTCTCGCTTTACATCGTTCACGTCGTATTGCCATTGGCTACGAAGTAATTGACAAAAACCTGTCAACTAACTCGATCGATTTACAGGCTCATTAGCGGAATTAATCCATTCAAGCACACATTTTATTCTCGCGATCTTTCGTGTGAAAACAGATTGATCGTATATGATTTTATCAATGATGGGCATTTACAAAAGTTTTCTTACCTTAAAAGACAATGCCTATCTTCTCTTTATAGGAATCATCCATCGTTTGAAAGTGCTATTGTCCATTTTACAAAATTATATGTATATGTATACATGTATATATATATACATACATATATTTATTTATATTTATATATATATATACACATCATAATTTATAATAACACGTATTAGTTTAAGTAGCGCCCATCCTTGATAACTTATTAAGAGTCTTCAATGCGTAAACTTACAAACTGCATTAAACGAAAATCTGTATCCCAACAAGACACTTAAAGCTCCTTTGATCACTCGTGTTACGAGAATTACGTTAGTGCTGTAGCAACACGCAACTTTGTCCTCGCTACTCCGGAGAATGAAACAAAATTCGATTGGTGTGTGGCAAACTTATCTACAAATTATATGTAATTACATAATTTGCAGATAATTATGTACATATAACTTCTGCATAACATAGTGGGTTACATTATAACTGTTTGTCCATTTTGAGAATTACGGTATTCTCATTTCACGTCGGCTTACTTATTCAAAAATTTACGTTCTATCTTTTTTTCACACAGCCACGACACAATTTCTTCATTCTCCCGTTAGAAATTATAGCTTTTTCCATCAGCATCCTTCCTTCTCCTTCTTTTTATCGCACCACATGTGAACTTATTTCGTTCCATTCCTTTAAAGAAAAGTCCTCTCTTGTGGTCCTGCCGTGGGATGGCCTCAGACTACGTTGTGCGATAGGGATCCGTCGTCCCGCCACGTGTTGGCTGGAAGGAAAAAGTCATCTTTTCAAATTCTCATCGAGACGATCCCTTCGCGGTGAAGCACGAAGTTTAGGGGCTCCTGGAGCCTGGCTAACATCGTGTGTTACCTCTATAATGCATGTCCTGCGCCATCGACGGGCACTTGGCGTTTCCCCGCTGCCGGAATAACACAGAAAGTGCATTTAAGTTGTAGCTCCGTGAGAAACTGGCGAGATTGATTCTTTTATGATCACTCAAGATATTTTTAGCAAGAATATCTTCTGCTGATAAATTTTTAATAAACGTATAAATAGTATAATAGTACATATAATAGTAGTATAATAGTACGTATAATAGTACGAAAAATCGAATTGAACGTTAAAAACCACATCTATTTATTTAATGCTATATATAATCTGACTAGATATTTCGATTTCGACGAGATAGATCAATCGTCTCCATTTTAGCAAAAAGTAGCAAAAATGTTCAGCTGAAAAATAAATTTTGCCAAATTGTAAAATCACAGAATATGTATTATCGGTTCCAGGAAGTAATACAGCAGTTTCCTTAAATGAGTTTCCTTTGCAATGGATGAAGTGTGGATGATGGAAAAAATTGAATTTTATGGTTTTGTATTTTAAAAACAATGTTAACAAAAATTAATTTTGATTTCAATTACCAAGAATTTTATACGTTTCTTAAGGATTCTTCTTCCTTATTAATTTTCTTTAATTTAATAAATATATAATTTAAAATATATTTAATTTTAAAAAAAGATTATCGCACTTTTAAACTCGAGATTACAAGTCAAAAGTTATGATGTCGATGTTCTTACTCTTACACAACTACGATGGCTAATTTAAAAAAGTATAAAATACCTCTTTATAAAGTAAGCAACCTGAATTTAAATTAATTTTTTATTAGAAAACAAGGGGCTATGCATTCATAATGCTTTACCTAATCAGTAAGCGTCTTTTAAAAACCCAGAATTGTTAATTGAAAACTAATTTTTAGTTCTTGCGTACTCCTTGTAAGTGCCGATTAATTATATATTTGTCAATCTTAAAATACAGTCCTAAATCAAAGCTGGAGTGGTAATATCACAAATTAAATTACCAAGCAATTTAATATTATTGATATACAAAAAGAATGGTTTTGTGAAATATCTAAAAATTTAACTAGATACAGATCTGAAAATAATTTTATTGGATCATTAAAAATTTATGTATAACACTTAAATATTGATGATAACGTAGGAAAAAATTTTAATATTTTTGCAACCAGTTTGAGTATTCTACAATTATTTTGATGATCCAAACAAAAATTTCAGATCTGTATCTAATTAAATCTTTAGATATTCCGACAAAATTGTTTTTTTTTCTTCAGTTCTTTCTTTAAAATCCTGTAAATAATTTGTTGCGAAAAATATTACCCTGTAAATAATTTATTGCGAAAAATATTACCTCAGCCGCTTCGAACCTAAATCTTTTAAATTCCGTGCGGGCGTCTTACCAATTCGACCACTGATATGAAAATATTAATCGCAATAACCAGTATACACAGGAAGAACGTCTTTAAAATTCAGGAGTTCCAGGTTCGAATTCCAGTTGAAGTAGTAATTTTCGTAATAAATAATTTACTAAGTTTTAAAGAGTTTTATTAGCATTAATAATATTAAATTGCTTGGCAATTTGTGATATTACTATTTCAGCTTCAGTTTAGAACTGTGTTTCAAGACCAATAAATAAATCGGTGTACAATTTGCTTGAACTCGAAATGTATAAATTCACAAAAAATATTATTAGATACAATGAAATGATTCGCCTTCACCGAATATGGCTTTTTCTAATAATTTGGGTTTAATTTCATCGATCGATTTTCACTTAATATTGCTATTATTATATTTATTTTTATATTTGTACAATCCTTTCCCTCCCCTGCTTTAGATCCAAAAATATCTGGTCACATTAGCTCTCTTTAAACTAAAATTCATAAAGCTCGTTATAATTCCATAATTGTGCTAATAAAATATAATTTGTAGTTTATTTTTAATAAAATAATCCCGAAAAAAATGTATATTTTAAAAGTTTATAATAAAGTACAGAGTAAGGTGCTACAATTTCAAACATGATACAATTCTAAACGAAAAAAGAAATTTAAATTCAATTCTCAAGATTCAAGTTTGTTTTTTTCCCTATTTGGTATCCTTTAATATCTTTCACACAATGAGATCAAGATTACCACTTGAATCTGAAACTTGAATCTGAAACATTAATTTCAAATCGTATTCAGAATTGTACTATGTTGAAAAATGTATCATCTTAGTTTACTAATATTACGATACTAGATTTATCCTAATGTGCCAATTACCTTGAATGACACTACATTCTTTGCACGAAATATCGAGTGATATAATCGCAGCGTAACATTACCTTGGCAAAATCGATATTTGTTCGCACGGTTCTATAATGAAGACCCTGCAGCGGTCTGGAATTGTTACCGAGAGGCGCTTTCGGCGTACTGGAGGGGCCTTGCATTAATTTCCTCAGGGCGTACAGCTAATAACAGAAACAATGCGCTGTATAGAAGGGACAGGATCCGTTGATTGATCCAACGATATTGACAAAACTATCTCGGTGCCGCCCTACTGCGTCGGCTGTTACCTTCGATGATTCGATTATTATAGTGAGACACGCGAGCTTCCACGAATCAGAATCGGAATTTAGAAAGAAGAGGCGAAAGAAAATAAAAATATATGCCGGGAGAAGCCCGCGATGGTAAATCGACTGACTGGAGACGATGTTTACCTCTCGCGCCGTGATGTAGATTGGTTTGTTGAGGATCAACCAGACCGCCGTTTCCCAACAACCGGGATGCGTTGTACTGCCCTCGTAAGTCATGTAACCGGTGGTGTCCGGTAGAAGGCTTTTCAGAGACAGGTAGCGCACAGGTGCGGTGTCCCCTAAAATATAAATTATTAATAAGATTTATTTGGTCAAAGCCACTTCCGAGATAGGATTTAATGATCTTGCCTCTCGCAACGAAGTTTCATCTCAATTATTTCACAATATAACTGCAATATATTTCAATTATAACCGAATATAATTATCAATGTTGATTAACAGCGAATTTCGCTTGTTGGAATTTCCAAGGATTTCAATAATACTAGTTGGATAAATCGAGCGGGATTAGTCAGTGATACTTTTAATGCAAAAAGGATCTTCGAGCATTAGATGGCCTTAAAAGTTTAATTAGATCCTTTTTCTTATCCTTAGATAAGAGATCGTGAAACAAAAGTGCGTGCATTCTGAGATTAAGGGACGGGATTGAGAAGTAAGAAATTCAGAGACGTGCGTGTGTTAACGCACATTACAAAATTCTAAATTTGTTGATAAGCGATATAGGAATAAGGATATGATCCATTTACACTATTAAACTCATAATGTCAAATTATACCAAATTTGAATTACTTTTCATCATTTCTGCAGGTGCATTTAAAAATAATAAAATGTTATTTAATTCAGAGGATTGAGTTACCATTGTGCTCCTTTAATATTTAACAGTGTTGCACTTTGTTATTTTATAATGGCAAATTATACCCAATTATATCCAATTTGAATTATTTTTCATTATTTCTACAGATCGCTATTGTTCCTACAATATATCGTTAATTTAACTAAAACAATAGTGTAAAACAATTTTAAAACAATTGATTTACATTTTGATACACACGGAAGTTAAAAATAACAAAATGTTATTTAACAAAGGATTGGGTTACCATTGTTCCTTTGATATCTAACAGTGTGATGTTTTAAATGCTTTGAAATGTTCCTTTGATTGGTCAATTAGTAAAATTCTTTCTTCTGCCAAGCTTCGAAACGTTTATAGCGTTAAGTGGACTGCATTTTATATGATGCTCTCGAATTATATATAGCTTATGTGGAATGCCTGATAACCACAATATTCTGAGATCGAAATAGTCGGTGTATCAGTTGTTATATAAAAGCAGAATTCAATTTATTCGACGAATTATTTTGCGAATTGTTCTGTTTTTACACACGTTTTTCTACCCTTTGATATTCAATTCCTGTATACCGGTCGCGAGATTCAGCAAACGAAAATCGTTCCGGTAGCTACACGTGGCGCGACGTTCCTATAAATTCAACGATTATCCGAGCTCGCAGCGATTCTCGTACTTTTACCGATAACAGGCGTATGTGGATTACGGAGGATCGTAAAGCGTAAAAGTCTCAAATCTCTCGCTCTAAGGCTTCCTGACGGCAAATCGGTGTCGCGATACTCAACGACGAGCCATTTTCGTGAAACGCACGCGAATATGGCGAACGACGAGGCGAGCGAAATTACTAGCGATTCGTTTTGCAATCTCGCTTTTGAACTTTTGGCACCCCGGCAGACGAGGTGGATTGGAAAAACGACAATGAATCTGAAAAAAAACGAGGGAGAAAGAAACCGGCGATGATTGACGCTGCGCAAACGTACATAAATCGTGCACAAAGCGTGGCCATGTATTCGCCTTACGTACAATCTGCATTTTCAATCTCCCGTACACACATGTATGAAAGTGTTAATGTACTGAATGTCTCGTAATAGTTATATAACTATTATAGTAGCTACATTTTGTAAAAACAGAGAAAATAAAATCTAAAGTTCAATTGACGAGAAAAATACATTTATTTGTAAAATGCAAAAATTCTTTCATATTTTGACACATGTTTGAAAAATTTATTAGAAATTGCACATTAAGTAAGGAATATTATGAGAAGAATAAAATCTTTCGCTGCATCAGATGGTTACATTACTGACGAAGAAACCTCGCAAAGTGTCAAATTTTCATATGAAACATTATATTTCATCTATTTATGTAAGGTATGAATATACAACATTTTATTAAAATCAGAATTTGACATTTCGTAAGGTTTCTGTGTAAGTAATAGAAAAAATACGAATCACTACACAAACATAATAGCAATAACAGTAGGTTTGCCCAATCTTTGAGACAAATAGAGGGGATTCTGTTCATCCATTTCTACCAATATCACATATTTGGCTACGTTATCGGTTAGCCCAATGTTGCGCAGTAAGCCTTTCAATTAATATTATAACTTGAACAAAAAGAATCTAAAAAGAAATTTAACTTTCTTTCGTATAGAAGTAGTTGATTCTAAACTCTTATCATTACTAACAGATTTTCTTCCCTCGTCTGAAACATCTTAAAATTATTATTTAATGTGAATGTTATCCATTTTGCCACAGAAATAATGCACTATACTTGAACAATAATATCTACTGTCGCAGTAATAACGCCCGAGTTAATTCTATACATTTAGAGAGTTATAATTTCAAATGTGGTCGGTCATAAGTGTATCATATAATTTCTGGTAAATAGTAGAATTACAAGAACAAACAATATGCAACTCGCTTGTAAACCGTCACTGCACAAATATCTGCGTCTCATGCAGAATAGTGTGTACACGTAATGCATTATGCATTATGCACTGTCCAGGGTAACTTTCCATCGACAACAATGTATTGTATAAAGCTGTCGTTTATAATTCAAATATTACTATTGTATTACGTTTAAACAATAAATCGATTGCTCTTAATTTTACTAATTATAAATACTTACTTTCAAATCGCTATTTTTAATTAAAATAGAAATATTTTAACAATAGTGTCTCAAAAGACAAGAAATATAACCGAGAGACTTTGCGAGTGAATACAAAAAGTCTTTTTAACCTTTAGAGCACGGAAGTCTATTGTAAAAATCTTACAGCTTTTCCTTAAATAAGATTTGTTATAATTCATTATTTTATTATATTTCTT